TAACTTGTGCGGACAAATAACTCATTAGAGAAAATATTTTTACAAATGACTTATTTTTCTGTTGTGGTTGTTTGTTTGTGCATAAAATTAATTTTTAAAATATATTTAAAAAAATCTGGTAATATCGGGCATTAGGACCACAATTAATAATAAATATAAATTTTATAATTTTAAAAATTTTATCGTTAAATTGTGAGAAGAATCGCAAAAAAAATATAAATTTATGAACCCCGCACCGATGGCTGGTGGTCGTAGCCACGATGGTGAATGCGTCGGTTGGCGTAAATTGGAAATGAGGCTCGGTAGGTTAGTGACTTTGATAATGATTAATATAAGACTTAAAAAAATATAAGATTCTATAAGGTTTTTGTCAACATCCAGAGAGAATACCTTTTACTCTCGGTCCAAAAATAAAAAAGTTATTTAATTCCTTAAAAAAATAATTTAATTTTCCTACCTGACCAAAGAAAATAATTTTCCATTGAACTTATTCTTGAACGCTTCAAACAACAAAAAATATGCAACAAATATTTTTCCTGTAAGTTTATTGATGGTATTGAAAACAAAAGCATTAACCCTTAAGAATACAAAATTTATAAACTCTACAATTCTTCTCAGTTTGGAAGGATGAATCATACTTGGAGCAACAATAATTAGGTATTATCGGACTCTTACACTTTATTTGAATAGAAGATGGTCTAACTCAGCAACAACTTTAGTTGGGGCTTTTAGTAACGCTTAACTGTGGTAGCCGTTTTGAATAACTTTTCATAAAACGTTATTAAGAAGTATTACATTACTATAGAGTTAACTTTTATTAAACCCACTAATATAAAATTAGTGTTTTAGTGTCAACAATATTAAAGCTATTTTATAAGAGTTCTCATCGAAATCAAACACCATAAATAGCAGTGTATTAAAATACTAAACTATTTTTATTTAATTATGTTGGAAAGGGAAAGCTTAAATATATATGGCCATTGTTTAAGGTTTCGATAGTATTGGAAGATAAAAAAAGTATAAAAATTATTACGAATATCTTTTAATAAAAACTAATTTTAAATATTAAATAGGCTAATTTTTTATACAACATAAATGTTTTTTTAATTTATTAAATTATTTAAGACATTTAAACCCATGTGAGTGTAAAGCCAAAAAAAGATTGTAATAAATTTCGAAAAAGATATAAATTTGACAATTTTAGAGTTTTAAAAAATTAAAAGGACTAAAAAATTAAAAGGGACTAAAAAATTTAAAATTTTTAAAAACTCTTTCCAACACTCCAAAATGATGGGTTGGCAAACAAGAGGAGAATTTTGGCTGTTTTTAAACCTCAAAAATTACTTTGCAAAAACTTTATAAAGTTCCCTTTCGATGCATTACCTCTGTAGGTAAAAGAAGCTACGAGCTAAAATGCCAAAGGATTTGAGTTGCAGATTACAGATTGAAACAATCAGCAGGGGTTTGCAAAGTTGTGCATTGTTCACTGTAGTGCTTGTTTGCTCTACTCTTGACTTGGCGTTTTTATTGATTAATTTGGCTCAATGAATGTGTCTATTAGATGCGTTGCTGACATAATAACTACTATGAGAAGTCCTTGAGTCTGCGGAATTTCATCATACCAGCCTATGTTTGAATCAATAACAGTTTTGCCTTTGGCTTTCAAGCTTGGATAACATCTTTCTTCCAATGGACCTTTCTAAAACCGCGACAAAAGGCACAACTTCATCTTTTTTCAACTCGGTTTGTGGACAGATCTATATTTCTATATACTCCAACAATTCTTTTGGCTCTGAAATGGTGAACGGCTTTTGGCTTCGTGAACGGCCTCCAACCACCAGAGCTTCTACTTCAGTTGCCTTTTCCTTCTTTTCTATCTTTCTCAGTTCATGGCTGTAAAGATCAGCACAAATTTCACTAAAAGTCACATCTTCATTCCCGTGAATTAGAGTCGCTGTAAGATGGTCAAATTCATCAGGAAGAGATGCCAGCAACAACAATGTCAAATCTTCGTCTCTAAATATCACATCCAAATTAAACAAATCAGCCACCAATTGATTAAACTTCGTAATATGTTCATTCATAGTGGTACCAGGAACATAATTGAAGCGATACAATTTCTTCTTCATGAAGAGTTTATTTTGATTGTTTTTCTTCAAAAATTTCTCCTCCTCTCCTCCAATGCCTTCCACAATTTGTTTGCAAAAGTTTCTTTCGAGAAAGCATATTTTTATTCTCTAGAAAGCACGACCGAATTGTATCACATGTCAGACGATTGATGGTCCTTCATTCACTCTCCTCCATCTCGTTTGGTTTCTCTTCTTCAATAGCAACATCTAGATCTTATGGTTTCTCTTCTTCAATAGCAACATCTAGATCTTATTGAAAAAAAGCGTATAGAAGTTCACTCTGCCACATGCCGAAACGACCGGTGCCATCGAAAATCTCCACTGTAAATCTTGCATTTGATACAGCATTTCTTACTAAAGTTGATGCTATAGTAGGTGTAGTATTTTTCTTTTCGTTTGTCATTTCTACTTTAAATATTTAATAGCTATAAAATCAATTTTCAAAATGCGGAACACAACCAAGGAACCTTTTTTGTGAGGCAGATCAGACTATGCTGCAACCACAGTGAATACTTAGTAACCTTAGCGCTGATACCAACTGTTGTGGAAATTGGGCTTCTTCCACCAAATTAAAAACAATTTGTGAATTACTGTACTAAGTAACTACACCAGGTAAATTCCCAGATAAGTGGAAGAGTCACAGGTCTCACTTAAAATCCACTTGCCTAGACAGAATTTACATAGACATGCAATTAATCAGACAATAACCACCAAAAGTATTTTGCCCAACAACAGCTATTAAATAAATAAAAACAAAAGCAATAAATAAAAGAGAAGACCAGAATTTTAACGAGGTTCGGCCAATTTTTCCTACGTCCTCGGACATTACCAAATTTATATTTCACTAAAGAAATATACAAATTGATAGAGCAGAGAAACTTGTCTAACCTATTAAGTGTTGAAAGACAAGTTGAGACATCTAAAATTGAAGGAGGTAGGCTCCTTATATAGAAGAGAGGCCACCCTCTCCCTTGCTAAAATCCCGATGTGGGATTGAGCCACCAAACCAACGGATCAAACTCAGCTAAAACACAAAATATATTTTTGAGATTAAGAATTACCACCATTTAAGGGATTAAAGACTCCTATGATTCTGGTGACTAAAACCTTATTATCCTCATAAACATTCGAGCTAAAAGTAATGCCCGACTTCTCAAAATTTACAACTTGACCTGAGGCCTCCTCATAGCAGCTTTTCACCTTTAATTAATTAGTTTATTTAGATTCCTTATATTTTCCATGAAGCATATTTTAGGCTGATTCGCTTACAGAATTTGCGAGTTTGCAAGCTTCGAGTCTTCACATTCTTGATCGCCATCATGATAATATTAATTCATAGCTCATGCATGATGCGGCTAGGATAACTTATCCAAAATGGTGTAGTAGCTAGTCTTTTCTTTTTTGTTTGCATATTATAAAAATAAATAAATAAACAAACAAAAGAAATTGGAAATTACTCACTGAATACTTCCATTAATGACTCATGTAAACTCATGAACTTCACTTGAATGTGAGAAATATAGAAACCTTAGCCAAAATATCTCTAACCAAAACTAAACGATTTTCCCATTAGTCTTTTCTATAAATAAACTAATGCTTTTCCCATTTCTATAACCGTGTAAACTATCTTTACTCTCTATTAACAATAATATAAATCTTGCGAAAAAAAGCAGTACAAAAGTATAACATTGCCATTTCAAGCTTTTCACTGATAATAAGATTGATTTGTCCTTATTGTGCCCATTCAAAGCTTTTCACTGATAATAAAGTAATTGATTTGTCCTTATTAGCTTTTTGGAGGCCATCACTGTGTTATCTTCTCCAACTAAATTAAAAGATTAAACCCATAACATAACGACAAAAGAAATTATTTTCTTAGTTTATTTATAATTCCTTCATGTATTAAAATGTTCCATCATATTACATCCATTTAGTTTACCTAACATAATTGTTTACCTTAAAGAGGTTTAAAGGAAAAAGGCCTTGTCAATCGCCATTAGCACAAATGCCTAACTTTGTAACAATTCCTGTCTTCTTCATTGCACTTCCCCAACATGACACGGTTACTGCTATTAACCCTATCTTGAAACTCTCCACTTTTCACAAATTAGCAAAGGTATTCTTAGTTACACAAACAACCCACTTTTGCTTTACCTCTCCTTGAAATAGAAACTAGTCTTTTTTCTTTCATTTTTCTTGTTTTCTTTTGCTCTGTTATCTTCAAGGAATCAAGAAAAAGCCTATGCTCCATACACAAAACAGTTATCAGATCTCTTCGTTTTGCTTATAGTGGGTTTTGATTATTCAAAGAAGAAAGGAAAAATGGGGTTCGCTGGAAAGATTGAGATCAAGAGAATTGAAAACTCTACCAAACAGACAGGTTTACTTAACTTCCAGAAGAAGAAATGGTATTTTTCAAAAAAGCTCAAGAACCTCACTGTTTCTTTTGTGAATGCTCAAGGTTCTCATTATCATGTTTTCTAGTACTGGAAAATTCCATGCAGTTCTTTTAGCCTACAACATCGTACGTTCATAGATCAAGTTTCCCTTCTTTTTATTTAATTTTTTTTCTTGAGATTTAGGTTTGTTAAAACCCTAATATAATATTTGGGCGTTTGCGTGTGTATGTGTGTGTTTTGTTTTTAATAATCTGCAGGACAAAGAAAAATATTTGATCAATATCAAGAAAGAACTTTAGGGATAGATCTGTGGAGCACTTCACTATTGAGGTTAATCTCTCTTTAATTTTTAGTGTCAAATTCTTTTCTTTGTTGAAAATTTTTAGTAACTGTTTTGATCTATAAGTTTCATTAGCAGGTTGAAATTTTTTTTTTTTTTTTTTTTTTTTTTTTTTTTTTTTAATATTGAGATTATTAATTATTTGCAGAGAATGCAAGAAAACTTGAGAAAGCTGAGAGAGATCAACACTAAGCTGAGAAGAGAAATCAGGTAATTAATTAATCACTGTAATTTCTAAATTAGGAATATTCTTTTGTTTTCTTTTCCTTCGCCAAAAAAAAAAGAAAGAAAAATTTCTTTAATTTTCAGAAATTATATATTAATCTAGCAGGAAAAGTCATAATAGCCTATTTTATAGTGTAAGACTTTAGAGGTTAATTTAAATCCTTTGCCTTCCCTTTAAAAATTTTTTATGTTAATAAAAATAAATTATATTTAGCATATATATTGTTTTTAATATAAAAGTTGCATTAGCAGGCAAAGACTGGGTGAGGATTTGAACGATCTGAGCATTGATGAGATGAGGAGTCTGGAGGAAAGAATGGATTCGGCTTTGAAGCTTGTACGTGACAAGAAGGTATTAGATTTGTATTTATTTATCTCAATTAATTAATTAATCTGCTTTTGCAATTTTGTGCTTTACTTTTAGTTTGAGAATAATAATAACTTTGAAGGTGTTTTTTTTTTTTTTTTTTTCTCTTTTAAAGATTATAAATTATAAAATTAACATTCTCCGGTAAGGTTCTGGCGCACTAAGGGCCTCTTGGCTCAGTTTTACGCCGGGATTTGTTAAGTTTTCCCTGATATTAATCAATAAAAATTATATTTGCTGATAAAAAATAAATTGTAAGTTAACTTGCAAAGTTAGATTAGCAGTAAGGCTTTTAATCTTGGATTCTTATGTTTTTCACTTCTTTAATTTGTTGGAAAAACTTCAAATCACAAAGTTTTATGTATCTATGGCATAAAAAGATATATTCTGTCTCAACTTCATAAGCTTATTAGATAAGATAACAACGTAGTTGTTGCAAAGACTTATTCAAATTCTATTCTGTTATATTTAGATATATACAAGTTCCTTGAAACAAGGATTAGAAGAGTCTGTAATCATGTATTTAAATTACACTTGTACGTGAATAGATTATTACTTCCTCTAATCGTTTTATGGTATCAGAGCCTTTTTCTCAAACAGCATTTTTTTTTTGATCCTATCTGCGATTCTTCTATCCCTTTTCAATGACTAATCCTCTAGAAGAAACCAGTTCCGCCACTCCTACCGTTCTTCAAATGCCAACCCTAAACCCCTCTGAAACTCAATTAGTTTCCATTAATGCCTCCGCTCAAGCTCCACTTAAACTGACTGCCACAAACTACCAATCGTGGCATACTCAGTGGTACTCTCTATTGGTTGGTTATGATTTTCTTAAGTTTGTTGAGAACCCTATTGCTACCTATTGCTAGTAATCTGGACAACCACCTATCTGTTTCGTCAGATCAGCTCCTTCGAAGCGCTATGATGGCTTCTCTTTCTCCCGCATGTGTCTCTTATGTTGTTGGTGAGAAAACTTCTCGCACGATGTTTGGGTTTACTCTGGAGAAAAACTATTGCTAAGCCATCCAAGCTCGCATTATGAGCTTGAGAGAGTCTCTATTTACAGCTAGAAAGGGATCTCATCATGTTACGTGAGTTTCTCCAGAAAATTAAATCGATTCACCACTACACTTGCTGCCTGCTGGTGTTGTATTTACGATGAATGAAATTGTTCTCCATGTTCTTTCCATGGTTACCATGTTCTTCATGGTCTACCTGCTGAATATAAGGAGGTTTCGGCTGCCATTCGAGCACGTGACTCTGAGATTTCTTTTGACGATCTTCATGATAAATTGACTGACTTTGAGAGTCAATTGAATCGTGAGTCGAATTTGATTGTTACTCCCACAACGGTGAATTATACTGCGAAAAACAAAGCTGGATCGTCAACTGCTGCTCCTCAATCTTCCGCTTTTGTTGATTCTGGAAATTTTTCAGGTACTCCTACTTCCTCGACCTACAAAAACAGGGTTAAATGTGAATTTTGTGACAGGCCTGGGCATGTCACCAAACAATGTTTTAAACTCAAGAAATTGCTCCCATGGCTATTTAATGAAAACTCCACTGCTGCTGGTTCAAAGACTCAAGCTCAAGTTAGTTGTGTTACTAGCAATTGACAGACAAATGATCCTCGTTGTGTTGTCGATTCAGGTGCAAATCAGCATGTGGTAGAAGATTTAAAGAATCTGGCTATTCATTCAAATTATGAAGGCAGTGATAAGGTTTTCCTTGGTGATGGTAAATCCTATCCAATTTCTCATACAGGGACTGTTACCTTAAATTCTGCCACCAAGCCTTTGAGTTTAAAAAAGAATGTTTTAAAAGAATGTTTTATGTGTTCCTGCTCTTGACAAGAATCTTATTTCTGTTTATAAATTGTGCACTAATAATAATGTTGAGGTGACATTTAATCCCTTTCTGTTTACTGTGAAGGATTTGAGCACAGGGGCACTGCTAGCGGAAGGGAAGCCCACTAATGGCATTTATGAATGGCCGCCCAATCTGTCAAGAGGTTCTTCTTTGAGCATTAATCATATTGTTGCTTCTTCACAGCCCCTATGGCATCGTCGACTAGGCCACCCTTCAACACCTATCTTGCGTCTTATTTTGCAGTCATTTGATTTATCAGTTTCAAATAATAATTTCTTTTGTGATTCATGTAAGTGCAACAAAATGCACAAGTCTCCATTTTTTGAGTCCACTATGACAAGCTCTGCTCCATTGGAGTTAATTTATAAATTTATAGTGACGTTTGGGGACCGTCACCAGTCACTTCTATTGATGAATTTCGGTATTATATCATTTTTGTCGATCATTTTACCAAATTTGTGTGGTTGTTTCCTTTGAAAAGAAAATCTGACGTGTCTTCAATTTTTCTGGCATTTCAGAATCTTGTTGAAAACTACTTCAATAGGAAAATTAAATCAATATATTCGGATAATGGGGGGAATTTATACACCTAAAAGCTTACTTGCAAGAAAAAGAGATTTCTCATTTTCTTACTCCACCCTACACACCAGAACATAACGCCACAGCTAAGCGTTGACATCGACAAATTGTCGAAACCGGGCTCACATTACTTCATCAAGCCAATCTACCACTATCTTTTTGGACTTATGCTTTTCAGACAGCCGTATATTTAATCAATAAAATGCCAACCTCTATTTTGGACAAGAAATCACCTTTCTACTGTCTTCATGGCAAAGAACCCAATTATGCTAAATTAAAGGTTTTTGGGTGTTTATGTTATCCTTGGATTCGTCCATTTAATAAACATAAACTGGAAAAACGTTCTCTTCCTTGTGTTTTTATTGGGTATTCAGCTACTCAAAGTGGTTTTATTGTCGGTATTCAGCTAGCTCAAAGTGCTTACAAGTGCTATTGATCCTCATTTCATCCACCAATCTATCTTTCTCGTCATGTTGACTTGTATAAATCTGACTTTTCCGTTTAATTCTCTAGCCACAGGTTTAGAACGGACCTGATTCTCATTGACATTAGATACCTGGTCACCCATACATTTTATTTTACCAATGTCTGCAGGTCTTGACAGTATTGGGCAACCAAATTATGTGAAAACACTGAGTGATTCCTCGGCTTCTCCTTCGCTAGTCAGCCAGGCAAACCCGAACACAAGTAAAAACGATCTCGATTTCGTGTTCAGTACTGAAATTTCTAATTCACCTGGGATTTTATTACTTACTTCCAAGTGATGTTCGTGAGCAAGTTGCCGTTGGCCTCTGAATCTTCCTGGCCTCTAATCTCAATCAGAATGTACATCCAATGGTGACACGCAGCAAAAATCAAATTCGAAAGCCAATTAATAGACTGTGTCTATCCACTGAAGTTTAATCTGATATTCAATTTGTTCCCAAGACTGTTGCTCAGGCATTGAAGGATCCGAAGTGGCGATCTGCCATGGAAGAAGAATATCAAGCCCTCATGAAGCAGAAAACTTGGAGTTTGGTTCCTTTGGAAAAAGCAAATAATGTTGTTAGCTGTAAATGGATGTTTCGCATAAAGCATGATTCCAAGGGAATTCCAGTTCGATATAAAGCACGTCTGGTGGCACGAGGATTTACTTAAAGACCAAGACTTGATTTTGATCAGACCTTCTCTCCTGTTGCAAAACATCCCACAGTTTGGGTTATACTATCTATTGTTGTTAGTAAAAATTGGCCTCTTCGAGGCCTCTTCGACAGGTGGATGTCAATAATGTCTTCCTTCATGGCAAATTAAATGAAGATGTGTTTATGGAGCAGCCACCTGGTTTTATTCAACATCACAATTTGAAATTTGTGTGCAAATTGGAGAAGTCTCTCTACTGATTAAAACAGGCTCCAAGGGTGTGGTACTCTGCTTTAGCGTCGTTTCTGATAACTGCTGGTTTTCAGCAATCCAAATCAGATTCTTGCCTATTTATATATCATCGATAAGGGACTGTTCTTTATTTACTAGTTTACGTTGATGATATAATTATTACTGGGAGTAGTGCTATGCGAATTGAAGCATTCATTAATCAATTGGGTAAGGCATTCTCTATTAAAGATTTGGGGAATTGGGAACCTTCACTATTTTCTGGGTGTTTGAGGTTCTGGGTGTTGAGGTCAAGAGAACAGCCACAGGTCTGTTTCTCTCACAACATAATTATATACGTGACCTTCTAGAGAAAGCTCACATGCATGAAGCCAAATCTGCATCTACACCAATGTCTTCGACCATGACACTCAATTCTTCAGATTCTGCTTGTTTACAGGATGCTACTGTCTATCGAGCTCTAATAGGAAGTTTACAATACCTATTGCTTACAAGACCAGATGTGACATTTGTTGTTAATAAACTAGCGCAATACATGTCAAAGCCGACTAAAAAACATTGGACTGCTCTTAAACGACTTTTGCGGTATTTGGTTGGTACATTTGATTTTGGATTGAATCTTTGTAGACAAACTGATGATGATTTACATGCATTCTCCGATGCGGATTGAGCGGGAAATCACGATGATAGGACCTCTACTAGTGCCTACATAATTTTTCTAGGAAAGAACCCAGTTGCCTGGTCTTCAAAGAAGCAGAAAACTGTAGCAAGAAGCTCAACTGAAGCAAGAAGCTCAACTGAAGCTGAATATAAATCCGTAGCCTCCACAGCAGCTGATTTGGCATGGGTCAGAAATTTATTAGATGAATTGCAGTTTCCAAGACCCAAATCTCCGATGATCTACTATGATAATTTGGGAGCTACTTATGTTGCAGCAAACCCGGTCTTTCACTCTCGCATGAAACACATTGCCATAGATTATCATTTTGTACGGCAACAAGTGCAAAATGGAACTCTTCGAGTCACTCATATCTCGGCAAAAGACCAACTTGCTGATATGCTAACAAAGCCCTTATCTTTCACAGCATTCAGCAATTTCAGAAACAAGATTAGTGTTACAGACTGTACACCATCTTGCGGGGGCGTATTAGATAAGATAACAACGTAGTTGTTGCAAAGACTTAATAACAACGTAGTTGTTGCAAAGACTTATTTAAATTCTATTCTGTTATATTTAGATATATACAAGTTCCTTGAAACAAGGATTAGAAGAGTCTGTAATCATGTATTTAAATTACACTTGTATATGAATAGATTATTACTTCCTCTAATCGTTTTAAAGCTTTCATCTCAAAGTACGTAATATAAATTGCCAAACCTCAAATTCTTTTGGGCTCTAGAAAAGGCAAGAAGATAAAGTTTCTCCTTTAGGGTTTCAATTTTTTTTCTTGTTTCTCATTTCTTATACTTACTGAATGTATTCAAATTATGAAACCAATTAACTGTTTCAACTTATGTTGATGGTTTTTTTACAGTACCGTTTGATCGAAACAAAGACAGGAACCCAAAGAAAGAAGGTGAGTTAACATAATAGTGTACATATACATGTAAATTCATATCTTATACTTGAATTAATTAATTGTAATTAATTTGTTAATCAGATGCCTCACCCTTTCTTTCTCTCGCTTCTTCTTCTTCTTCTTTTTTTTTTTTTTTTTTTTTTTTTCATTTTTTTTTTTTTTTTTTTTTATTTCAGGTAAAAAGTTTAGAGGAAAGGTATGGAGATCTCCTTCATGAATTTGTAAGTATTCTAACATTTCTTTTTGGCTTTTGTTGTTCTTAATTTTCATGAAAATTAATAAATGGGAACATGAAAATGGTGTAATTAACATTTTCTTCTTTTTGTTCCAATTTGAATTCTAAGGATGCAATTGCAAAATGTGAAGATCCACAATACGTTTTAGTGGAGAATGAAGGAGATTATGAATCAGCTGTTGTACTTGCAAATGGGGCTTCTAACCTTTATGCTTTCCGCCTCCACAACGGCCAACACCCTACGGCTAACCACCACCCTACGGCTAACCTTCACCACGGAGGAGGGTTCGGACCCCATGAACTCCGCCTTGCTTGAGTGGCGCTACGAGTCATTTAAAATTATCAGTTTAATCTAATTAATCTACTATCAAACGTGTTTTTATATGTTCGGGTATCATTTAGAATAAGAATTTACAATTCACTATTATCATACATAAATTTATGTTTTGGCTTATGGTTTTGGAAATATATTTGGCTATCATCTGTATGCATATTTTGCTCTATTGTCTATGAAGCTTATAAACCTTTGGTATTTGGTTGGCTCAGATGAGGGGAGCTAGCTTAATAAATTTTATGAAGCATATGTTTCTGATTATTTTCTTTGAAGTTGAGTATTTGTTTTATTGAATAAAAGAAAAGAGTATTTGTTATATGTTTTAAGTTTTTCTCCTTTTTAGGGAAATAATATTTATTGATTGGTAGGATAAAAAAATATAGATATCTTAAGACCGTATAATTTTCAAAAGAAACAATAAAATAATTAATGCTCCCGTATGTTTCCGTAAAATAACTGATGGGAAAATAACTCGTTGAAAAATATTTTTCATAGAAAATTTTTTCCTTAAAAAATATTTTCCAAATGACTTATTTTTTGTTGTTTGGTTATAATATTGAAAATTAATTAAAAATATTAAAATTTTTATCGCATAAGACCATAATTAATAATAATATAAATTTTATAATTTATTGTTAAATATGAGGAAAAGAATTGGCAAAAAAATATAAATTATGAAATTTAAAAATTTTATTGTTAAATATGAGAAGAATGCAAAAAAAATATAAATTATGAAAGCCGCCGATGGCTGGTATTGATGGCCGATGGTGGTAGCCGATGGTGATGGTCGGTGGAAAATGATGATTGGTGGTAGTGACTTTGATGATTAATAAATTCAAAAATAAAATATGAATTTATAAGATTTGTCAATGTCCAGTAAATGTTTTACTCTCTCAAAAATAAAAAATTATTTTCTTTAAAAAATAATCTAATTTTCCTTTGACCAGGAAAATATTTTTCATTAATTTATTTTTTTGAACGCTCCAAACAACGAAAAATTATGAAAATATTTTCCTACAAGTTATTTTACGGAAACAAACGGAACCTAAGAATACAAATTATAACTCTACAATCTCAGTTTGAAGGATTGAATCATACCTGGAGCAAATAATAGGTATTATCAACTCCTACACTTTATTTGGATAAATGGTCTACTCGGCAAAATTACTTGTTTTAGCAGCGCTTAGCTGTTAGCCGTTTGAATAACTTTTCATAAAACGTTAAGAGTTAAACATTACATAGGTCAACTTTTATTGAATACTATAAAAAATAGTGTGTAGTCAAAATATTAAAGCTATTTAAAAAGTTCTTGTCGAACACAGCCAAAATATGATAAAATACTAACTATTTTTATGTTTATGTTTGGAAAGAAAGTTTAATAAATATGGATTGTTTAATTTGATAGTATTGGAAGATAAAGTTTAAGTATAAAATTACAAGAATATCCTTTTAATAAAACTAATTTTAAATATTTAAATAGGCTAATTTTTTAACAACATATTAATTTATAAATATTTAAGACATTTAAGAATGTGAGTGTAAAGCCAAAAAAGGATAGTAATAAATTTCGAAAAAGATATAAATTTGACAATTTAGAGTTTTAAAAAATTAAAAGGGACTACAAAAAATTAAAATTTAAACTCTTTCCCAACACTCCAAATTGGTGGGTTGAAAAGAGGAGATTTTGGAGGTTTTTAAACCTCTCAAATAACTTGCAAAAACTTTATAAGTTCCTTTACGTTGCCTTACCTCTGTAGGTAAAGAGCTCGAGCTAAAATGCCAAGGATTTGAGTTGAGATTACAGATTGAACAATCACAGAGGTTGAAGTTGATTGTTCATGTAGTGCTTGTTGCTCTATTCTTGACTTGGGTTTTACTGATAATGGTAAAGCTAGATTAATTAAGATGAAGCTGCATAGATAAGTTGCAATTTGTGATATTTTGAGACCCAAAAATATATTTGGTCCAACTTGGAACTGGCACAACTTTCATAGTAGCTGGCTAAAATGTGTAAAATACTGGTGTATTTACATTAGGGGCAATCCGTGGCGTGAACTATGAGTGAATTTTAGATATTTTAGCACGTTACAATGAAAGCTGTGTTAGATCCAAATTAGATCATTTAATGCGACTTGTAAATATATAATTTAATCCTTAAACTTTTTTTTAAAAAAAAAAAAAAAGCCTTGTGGTACCAAGAAATTTAAAATCAACATCATGGCACTTTAAATTTCACTTTTATAATAACTAGTCATACACCAGTGCAATGCGCGAATTGTATAATGTTCCATTGTTTTAATTATATTGAATGTAATTTTCAAGAAAATTATTATTTATATTTGTGTTGTTTTAATTTAAATAATTTGCTTATGTACTTTTGATTAAATAATGGAAGGTAAAATTATAGATTCTTTTTTAAATTCTCAAATATTGAACTGAAATATTAATTAACACAATTAATTATTGTAAGCAAATTATTGTTATTCAATTGATATATTTAGTTAATTATTTATTTTCTCTTTGACATTCTCATATATTTAAATTAAATGAAGTATAAGAATATTTAATCTTAATGAAATAAATTTTAGTGAGTTGAAATTAATATTTTAATTCTATTTGTTAATCCAATTATATTATTTAATTAATTTTTATTAACTATGACTCCATTATAACTCCAATAGTTTTCTTTGATAGAATAAAAACTATTTAATGAAAAACTTTATATTTATTATAACTCCATTAGTTTTTTTATAGAATGAAAACTGTTTAATAAAAAAACTTTATATTTATTATATTTATATTTATCTTATATATTAATTATAATGAAATCTTAATTAGTTTAATTGGTTACTCCATATTATAATGAAATCTTATTAGTTTAATTGTTACTCCATTATTTAATAAAGAACATTTAAATTTTATTTAAATATAAAAGATATTAATTATAATGAAAAAATAAATATCATGTCACCACTTTCATATTCTAATATATTGCCACATAAGTATTTAAGCTTTAAAAATTATATATTTATATAGATTTCGCACTTTCTGACACTAAAAGTAATAAATTTTTTATGTTTTTGACTTTTTTGTGTAATATATTGATTTGTTACGTGGTTAAAACAACTTTTGGAGTAATAATTTCTATATTTTTAACTATCCAATAAGTATTTATATCTATATATTTTTTAAGTTAAGATATTCAATGGGTCAAGTAAAGTATTTAACAGGTCGAATTTTATCAATTAAAGTGTTCAATGGATTAAAGTAAAAATTGAGAGTTGACAAAGTTTTTCGTGAAACCAAAAATATTGAGTCGATATTTTGAAGATGAAGCAATAAATAACATGGATATTGAATAACTAAGGTGCTGTTTGTTTTCGATTAAATTTCTTATTTTTTTTTAAATTTCTTGTTTTTCATTTTTTTCTATAAAAAATAAACAAAACTTGTTTAATTTTTTTTATTTACTTTTTAGAAAATTATTTTTAAAACAAAAAATAAATTTTATGAAATCATAAATAATGATTTACTGAATTGTGTTTTCTGTTTTTAATTCTACATTTCTCATATTTTTATTTTTTTATAAGATTTATCCTCATAAAATTATTATTATTGTTATTATTATTATAAATCTAATATTATTTATTTATTTATTATTGTTATTATTATTATAAATCTAATATTATTTATTTATTCATAATGTCATTTATTTATCTACAAGCATATATTTTTATCTCTTTTCAAATTCTCAACTTTTTTTTCTATCTCTTCTCTATTTAGTATTATTTTTATATGTATTATTATTTTCTTTATCTATATAAATCTAATGTCATTTAGTATTATTTATTTTTAATACATGGGAAGCTCAATCAGCCGAAATAACATTGCGGGCTACACAGCAGGGGCAGCCCTCCCATTTGAATAACATTCACCAAATTAGTGATAACCTTTACGGTGGAGAGGACTCGAACTCGAGACTTCTCACTCCATACATCTTTTACAAGAGATAGGAAGAATTTAGTATTATTTATTTATTATAATATTTGGATATTATGTTTTTATTCAACATAATAATTAATAGTTAGTGTAACATTGAAATTTTAAAATTAAATTGTAAACTATTTTTAATTATTTTTTCTAAGACTTTGAATTTTTAGAATTTTTATTATTAAGTAGAATCTTTAATAGGTTAATAAGGGAGAGAGTTGATAATTGAAAGAATTTTTCACATCATAAACAAAAAATAAACAAATAAATTTAAAAAAAATATAATTTTCAAAAAAATAGTAATCAAAAACTAAAAAGTAGTTTATATTTCTAATAAATAAAAAATTAAAAACAAACCACTGTAATAAACGGTATAAAATTACAGCCTTCAATTTCTTTGCATATATAGTGGAAATGACGTACATTGACCAGTTGAGCTAGCGCGTTTTGGGCTAATCTTAAATGAGTTTGTGCTTTAATCGGACAAAAGGTCATTTCTGAGTTTTTAATTTCAGGAGTACAAGTTTAAGAGGCTAATTGCACTTTATTCATATAATTCAATAATAATCTATAACATATATAAATTTTGGGATGAAGAGAGAATAAAGAGTTTACCGAAAATATCATAATTATAATAAAGATATCCAAAAATAACAATTACTCATAGGCAAATAAATTATTTTAATAAAATAATAATAATAAAGTAATAATAATAATAATAATAATAATAATTGAAGAAATAGAGCAAACGAAAAAAATTTTAGATTGTTATTGATTAAAATGAAGGAGACAAGCTATTATAGGTATTCATTGCATGGCTAGAGTATTCAATCGTAATGCTCGTATCCAAAACATTGTTTGTTGGATTATTTTTCTTTAAGATAAAGATATTCATTTCTATTTTTAAAAAAAATGTAAAAAATATAATCAATTACAATACGTAGAATCTTATTTATATACAATAGCTATACATTACGTAAGTTACACATGAGCTGGCGGGTTTATTACAATTGTTCCTGACTAATCTTCCTGCCAAGACTCTTGAGTAACTTAGTATCTAACTAGTCTTTTTTTTTTTTTAAATGACGTGCGTTGTATGTTGATTATACTCATTTTTGTACTTTTTAATTTTTTTATTTATATATATTAAAGTATAAGTTTTTGTTTTGATTAAAATGCATACAAGTGATTAATTTGTATTACATCTTGTCGTACAAAATACTTACAATGCTACTTTTTATAGTTAATTCTATTTTTATATAATAAAATGGTCTCA